CAGCTTCTGGACTAGAAAATGACATCCCCAAGTACTCTCACCTGCAATACCCTACCTGTTTCTTTTCTACACTGTTTTACTTCATGAAATCTAGAGATGAGACAGATTTGCTTTATCTCACAGTCCAACCCTCTTAGACCTTGCTTTGATAAACATTTCTTCTGGCAATATAACCAATGCACCACCCTTCCACTTGCTCCAGAAGGGCTGTTTGATGTACAGTGAACCAGGGAACAGATCTGGGTGGAGGCTAATCCCCTTCTGAGCTTTATTTGGATTATTTTTAACCAGTCTAGTTCACCGTGTGGTCTCCAAACAAGTCAGTGGGAGCCACTCAAGCCCCCATTTCTGCAAAAAAATCTCAAGCCACAATTACACATAACAAAGAGTAAAGTTTTATCGTGTCCCTGGTTTTCCATAAACTTGTCACATTATCTGACCTTGCAAGGGTGGGAAGGTTGTTATAAAATTGAAGAGGATGCTAACGCTTTTGCCTAGGCCTAGACAAAAGATATGGGAACGTTCTTTATGCTTTTTAGATCGCCAGAGATTGTCATGTATTTTTTTGCTAATTGGAAATAGGCAGGTACCAATCTCTTTGCATAGTTAAGAGTATAATTTTGAAATTACACTCTGGGCAGATGGCCAGGCAGTACTCCATCTTCAGCAGTGAAAAGAGGGAGTAGCAAGAGATTCTGGGTTTCTTTTCATTTGTTCTTTGACAGAGTGGGAATCATTGTATTTCTTTCAACAGAAGGTAAAAGAAAACCATCACAGGAAGCAGCTCGGAAAAAAGCAGCATAATGAAAGCTGTGACAAAACAGACGAAAAGCTTTTAGAACTGTTTTTATTCCTGCTGCTTACCAACTTTTTTTACACAGCAGAAAAATAGAGCTTTTGTTATGATCTGGGAGTGTTATTTATGCATCCACCACCCTCAGCTTCCTGTGCTCCTTCCTTCACTTATTCCTTTTAAAGAACGGATCTCACCTACCACAAAATCTAGAAGAATAAATAAGGTGTCTGTTAAACACACACTACACCAGTTCATTGGCCACTCCCAGGAAACGTTTTGCTGTCTCTGAAACCCTCATGGGAGGTTTATTAAGATGGAACTCAGTTGTAAAGTTTTCTGGGAAGGGATTAGAAGATACAAAATGAATGTGGATGATGTTCTCCCCTCTAAGCTTTTATCATGGTTTCCTTTCTCCCTAGATTCCTGAAGGACTACTGTGAAAGGGGGTGCTTCTCTGACTTAGATCTCATCGATAATTTGGGACCATCCATGCTGCTTAGTGACCGGCTGACATTTCTTGGTGAGTAGTGTCTACAGTTTTCATTCTGCTCTGTTGTTTAGAACATAGTTAACTCCACGGAATTGCTTGGATTTGTCTCTTCCTCCATCTGGCTACATCCTGTGTTAGTGATGAGGGGAAAGCAAATGCCCGAAGGTGATTTGGGATGCAGCCTCCTTGCTACTGGGAGACTGAATTTAAAATTGCACTCGCAGTGGGCATCTGTTCTGCTAGTCTGGAATTCTGACATCTGTATGCTTCCCCTTTCTTAGCCTTTTTCCAGACTGTATCACTACCTAAAGAGACTGAAATATTAACAAACGCAATCTGGAAGACCTTAGGGGGCTTCCTTGGAAGAGTAAACCCCCGGTTTAAGTTATTTTGGCAATATGATAATTTTACTAACTTCATAAAGATCTCCAGAATCTCAACTTTCCTTGGTTCAGTGTGCCAATTTTAAGCTCCCTCAAACAAAAGCTCTCTCCTACCCTTTCACTGTAGCAGTTGTGCCAAGTAACAGTGGAGGGCCTCCAGCTAGTTTCCTTTAGACACCACAGCTTCCCCCTGGCGGGCCAGAGTGTGGGCTGTGGTAACCTGCCCGTCTGGCTGCAGCTGCTCTTTGGCCTTTGATTAATGAACCAAGACAGGAAATTGAGCTAAAATGCACCTTTCTCCGGAGCTGTGGCCGTTAGCAAGCCCCACTACAGGGGCCAAAATCTAATAGGAAGTTGGAATAGCTGCTGGCAACTGGACTGACTCCCTTCTGGCTGACACCAGCATTACAGAGAGAGTGACCCTGAGTTTGATCTGTTCCCATTTGGTCCCAGTTTGCGAAACTGGAACTGTATTTCCTTCATTTAAATCTTATCCTAAATTAAGCCTAGAAGTAACTGTGATTTACCAGATTACTAATCCCTCATATCTCTGTATGCCCAGTGTCACCCAGCCCCAAAGAGTTGCAGTTTAACTATGTAACTGTTTATAAACTGTGTTGATAGAGAAACTACCTCCCCCTTTCTGCTTTTTATAAAAAATCCTAAAAGGCCTGAAAATATTTCTGCTTGGTTTTCCTTTGGAGTTTTTAGAAATATAGGTGTACTTTTGCTGGACAACTTCCACATGTCTCTGTCTTGAGCTCAAGCATGAGCCAAAGGTGAATCTGAACAGAAATTCTAACTTCCAGTAGTTTGACAGTTTAGTGGATACAAACAAAGCCCCAGAATAAAACTTACTTTCATCCTCAGCCAGGATATTGATCTAACTAATTCTTAGCAAAAGCAGAACTTTCCCCATGAACAAAGATCTCAGATTGCACTTAAGCAATCGGGAAGACAATGAAGCCTTTCAGACCTCCTGATACTCTGTGCTGTCCAAAAGAACATTCTCTCCCACACCTCTCCCCTCCCATTCCTGGTTTTTGCAGACACCACCAGTCTTGCTAAGCCCCTCGTGCTGTTGCTCACCCTGCAAACAGGCTGGATCAAACAGCAGACCTTACCAAGAACAGTAACAGGTTTTTGGGTTGCCTTTTCAGCCAGCCTCTATTTTAACCTTTCTTCATGCCCAAGATTCCCATTCCTCCAGCCGCTTTGGAGACTCGTTTCAGGGGGGTGTGTGGTTCTACTCCAGGCTTCACGGGAGTGAAGGGACCTTCTAACATCCAGTAGCCCCAGCCCGAGCAGTTCTGACAGACACTGATGCCTTTTACCCTTCCTCAACTGCCATGTGTGTAGGCAAGTACCGAGAATTCCACCGGCTGTACGGGGAGAAACGGTTCTCTGAGGCTGCCAAGTTGCTTTTGATGTTGATGACAGCTCACATTGCTCCTTGCTCCTTCTGGATGACCCTGCTGACAGACGCCCTTCCCCTGCTGGAGCAGAAAGAGGTGAGTGCGCTGGTCACCCCGACAGAGCCCCACCCACCCTTTCTCCTCTTCCTGACACAGTGTCTCAAAGTGGTGCCCCCTTCCTGCCCCCAGGCTGGGACCGGCAGTGCAGAATAACTGCTGGTGGCAACTGTGAAACACACAGCGTCCGCGTGTCCTGTCAGTGGGAGCCCAGGGGATACCCACGATAGGATAATCAACTCGTAACTTGGTTCCCTGCTTTTAGAAAACGGGTGGATATGCTGATGCGTGAAGTACATGCTGCATCCAAGTACTGGTACTTGGCTTGAAGATTTTTCTAGTGCGCTTCCTTCTTCTAAGACCAATTTTTGCTTTAAGATCCATCAGTAAAACGACAGTTTAGCAATTACAGACCCATCGTTCTTACCTGGTGGCTGACCCTGCTTTGCACAGGAGGTGGCACTAGAGACCTCCCAAAGTCACCTCCAGCTGGAATTCTCCTCTGATCCTGTGATTTACAGGGTCAGAATGGATCCGTGGGAGTGTGAAAGCTTTCTCTTCCTCTCAACTGAGTTTTTCAGACTCTGTGATGTCCTGACACATGATCATTTTCAGTAAATACTTTCATTTCCACAGGTCATATTTTCAGCAGAGCAGACTTACGAGTTGATGCGATGCCTGGAAGACCTGACAGCAGGGAAGTCGGATAAGCAGAAATTCCAGGTAGCTCCTGTTTTGAGGACAACTCTCTAATGGCTGGGTGGGGCAGTGGGGAGGGTGGGGGAAAACAAGCTCTGTTCCTATGTGGGCGCAGAAAGGAGGGAGAGCCCGGGTTTCCGAGACTGTGTGAGGTGTTACTTTTCAAGGCCAGCCAAATGAGGCACCATTAAGAGACATTTAAGTATAGGCAAAACCAGTACAGGAGTACTTCTGCTCCTCACTGTTGTGCTGATTTGGATTGGACTGTGATGCTTTTCCAAGATAAATAATTGCAAATTACACAGGCAGTGAAAAGCTGAGATGCTGCCATCTAACAGCTCCAGCTATGAAGTGTTCCAGGCACAGAATAGGGAGCCATTTGCTACACATGCAAACCTCTGCAGCTGCCAGAAAAAGAAAAGTCTTGGCAGTGCTGTCTTGTGTTGATCTAAAGAGTAGGAAACGTAGCTTCTGCTCTTCTCAGGAGGTCTCTGTAACAGGTACATACACACGCAGTCTTCATTTTAATGACCTGCATCCTTACTTCCCAAAACTCAGAAAAAGAACCTACTGCCAGCTCATTACTGCATGTAGCTGTCTAACCCAAACTCTGCTGGCTTTTAGGATGATGACGTTGAGACTATGAAAGTGGAAATGCTGAGACTTGCTCTTGCACGAAATCTTGCACGGGTCATCGTCAAAGAAGGCACATTGGAAGGCTCCTGAAGATGGCTGGGTGTGATTTTATTCTTCCTCTGGCTCACTGTACATAAACCTGACTGCTTTTCTAAGAATAAACATCTTGTTTTGCATATCGCTTGATGATATGTTCTTATCTTCCATAAACATAACTTTAAAAAAACCTGTAAGTGTAACCTGTAAGGAGGAGCTGCATCATTAAGGTTGCCTGTTCCAACTTGGCCTGATGACCCTCCCCCAGCAAAGTGAACCCCACTACCAGCAGCTGCCTCACCCTGGCTTGGTCAGCTGCTTTACCTCGAGCACCCAGAACTGAAACTAAGCCCACCTTTTAAATCATGGGGGTTTTAGAAAACAGCAACTTCTCTGCTTTTGCTTAGTTTGGATGGTCTTGAGATGATAGGTTGAGTTCTAGGATTTACACAAACAGCACTGCACCCCACCACCAGTCACCAGGGCTATCCACTGAGCAAAGTAGGGAAAACAATTTATTTAACATGCAGCAGAACAAACGCATTTGAGATGTATATATACAGTCAGGGCTGTTCAGTATGAAGCAGGAACCTCACCCTACAGACAAGGAACATTCATAGTTTCGTTTCCAAAGCTTTTAACAACGCATTTCCACCCAGCAAGACTACGGCCCCTTTCCATCTGGCTGTAGGCGTGGGCAGCGCGCTGCCGGTAACACTGAGAACAAAGCTGCTGCAGAAAGCACATGTGCTCTCCTGCCTTCCCCCAAGTCACAGTGAGATTCACCTGTAGGCATCTATAGCAGTGAATCCTTCCTCAGGACACACCGCCGGGACCTAAGCACTACCCGCATGCCTACTGTGTCTAAAGTGCTGGCAAGAACAGGTCGGAGGCAGAAAGAATTCTCTCCTTGTCCACTATCCCAGTCCATCGATTTAAAAGCACTTTAAGGATCCAAACAACATCCCCATCCCTCCCGCCTATCTTCTGCATCAGAAGCTGACAAGGCTGGGGACTTCATGAGCTTTGGACCATGAGTTTATAGCAAGTTCCTCAGCTGAGCTTTGATTCCACCTTCAGGGCTTCTACAACTGCCTGGTGCCTCCTGTGATCAGGACCTCAGGCCTTGGAATCTGCTGTTTTTCACCTCTAGTGATTTTTACTTTGCAACACAGTAAAGAAAAATTCAACTACAAGTAACTCCGAGCTGCGTTTGCAGTAATGGGTTTTACAGCCACCATTAATTTTCCCAGACCAGGCCAGGGTCTCTTCCTGTATACTGATCTCAGTGCATTAGGTGACAGCTCCCACTCGTGGTTTGGCAGGACCTGGTTTCCAGCATGGCTAGAAATGCTGAGCTTATGCCCAAGGACCCGCCCTATCTGTGCTTTTGTCAACAGATGTTAAAAAAAACCTGTTAATTTAGAATAGTCTGTCTCAAAGCTTAGCTGAGGCACTGCTTGAGATGGGCAATCAAGAGGGAGAAGGAAGGGACTGCTAGAATCAAGTCCCAGTGATTTAAACCTAGTTACTGTGAGACTGTAGCTAGAGGGGTCAGCTCCTCTGCCCCCCGTTAGCGCAGAACACTGATGTCCAGCAAAACTACTTTCCCCCTTGGAGACAATTGCACTTAGCCACTTAATACAGGGAACAGCTAAAACAAACAAGGCATTAAACCCAGCACATGCATCACCACAGCCCAGTGGAGCCTTCCTTCCTTTCACTGTCTGCTCGCTTCTATTTAGATATCCTATAGCTCTATTATTTACATCTGGTATGTCATTGTACTCATCTGAATAAAACACAGTATTCGACTACAATAATAATACTGCCTGCATGAGGGGAGGCGAGAGCCATCTCTCCTTATCCCTGGATTCAGTCACTGCACCTGATCGTGATTGTAAAGACATTTCTGCCCTCCAGGCGCTGTCCTCCACCAAATACTGACGGCTCCCAGCCCCACTTGCCTCCTCACTACGTATTTCCTCTTTTTCCCCACACAGTGGAATGCAATGAAAGCAGAAAAATAACCAGTGTAACCATTTGCATACAAAACTGAGCCCCAGCTACCCCCAAATGGATACAACGGGGAGGCAGCTGGCAGTTTAAAATAAATATAACAACTAAAGATACAGCAGTGTCGCACAACACAGAGCGAGGGTCTGCTTACGTTGGCCGTTGGGAATGAAGCAGCGGAGGGGGAGGAAGGGAACTAAGTGCCATTTCAGTGTAAAAAATAAGCATTCCCTCACGGAGCCAGCATTATTGCTCAACATGCTTAGCGGGTCCAGTCTGGCACTGAGGAGGTACAAGTCCGAGGGAGGGCACGTGTAAGGGCTCTGCTCTGAGGAAGCTCACGGTGGCATCATTACCCCACCAGCCTGTAGGTATCTCTGGACAGCAGTACAGGAACAAGCCAACTAAATCCCCTTCTGCTGACAGGTCTCCCCTCAAAATACAATAACTTCAAGTTTACTAGAGTGGAAGATAGAACCAGATTCACCCAGAGGTCAAGATAAAAGCAGCCAGCACTGCCCGTTACTGGCTGCCCCTCAGTTCATGCTTGGCATAAATGTTCCAGGACCCCTTCAATGGGGGGCAAAACATTCTGGACTAAAGCTACAAGCAGAGTGGTCAGGACATGTAAACAAAGCTGAACATCACCAGTGGATAGCATGTGTGTCCCTCCCCACGTCACATTCATTCCAGGCCTGTGGGATCCTTTCCTGGTCCTGTCACAGAGTCTCTGTCAGTGTCCTAAGGTCATAGATTCCCCCACTGCTCTACCGGGGGAAACTGATCCACTTCGCCCACCTCTGTGCTGGGCTGGTCTCCCAGTGTGAAGGTCAGTCGGTATCTCAGCCTCACCTTCTCCTGCAGGAAAGACAAAACCCAAGAGCAACATCAGAACGGCCCCAGTTGCTCTCAAACAAAACTGTTTCAGCTCTACATAGAGAGCAAGACTTCTGTTGCACAGAGCAGGGGGAAGAGGGCCAAGGCTAAGTTCACAGAATAGTTCAGCTACTTAGCAAACCTGAGTTATTTACCTCACAGTTTTTATACCGCAAAAACTTTTGCTTAGCATGGAACAGCAGGAGAAAAGCACGAATGACCTGTGATAATAGTTTGCACCAGTGAGCCTGAAGAACGCTGCTGGAATAGTTCAACATTTTCAAAATTAAATTCCTCATTATGTGGAGGAAGATAAAACAGTTCCTGGCTGCAAAATCCCTAGTAAAACAGCAAGCAGGAGATGGTACCAGTCCTGCAATGAGGGCGATCTCCATGTATCTCATGGAGTTTTTCAACAATCCACAAAATGTCCCTGACATTCATCCTTTTGGATCTCAAAGTTTTCAGCTGATACTTTAGGGACCCTTTTGCTGTAATTCTCAAGTAGTAACATCTAGATTTCTCAAGTAATTGGAAACTATTTCAGCATATTGAGCTTTATGGAGCAAGCTACTTCAGTGAGTAACCACAGTGAGGAAAAACAGCTACTCAGATGCTCTCAGCACAATCAGCAGAAAAGAGTTCACCACGTCGTTTCACTAGTCACAGGTACATCCTCAAAGAATAATGGAACAGACACAATCTGACATTTGTCTGTTGGTTCGGGTCTGTCAGGCTATAGCCTCAACACAGCAAAAAAGCATTTCGACAGCACCAGCTAATCTGACATCAGTCTATCACCAAAGCTGGGCAGTTCCAGTGCACAAGGGAGCCAGACAAACTCCTGACACAGCTCTGACTGCTGCCTTTTAAAGCTGAGCCCTATACGACCACTGCCCTTTTGCTGGGAGAAATGCACAGGTCCTTCTCGCACCTCTCCTTGCTGACAAAGTCTGTTGAGGAAAAGTCTCCCTCTGGCCCTGACCTGAAGCACCGCTGTTATGGAGTAACCACCTCTGGAGAGCAAGTTAGGAACAAGCAGCTGTATCTGCTCAAATGTTTGGTCCACCCCCCCTGTAGAAATCAGCTTACATCAAATTTGTCTGACAAGGCCAGGATAAGTCCCACTGCCCCTCTCACCTTCGTAGGGTTTGCCAGAAGCATGACTTGGGTGATGGCAGCAGGTGGCTGGATGGGATTGAATGGAGACAGCTCTGTGCCAGAGGGTGGTTGTAACTTCACTTTCATGGACTGCAAATGAAAAAGAAAGTGGAATCTCAGGGATTATCTCCTACCTTGGGGACAATGCAAGATGCATGCACAGGCTGGGGACACAACAGCATACAACCAAACTGAAGAGAATCAATCCACATGCGAGGATGAGGAAACGAGAGGCAGCCCAGCTTGCACAACACGCTAGGAACAAGTAGACTGACAAGTCAGCCCAGAGTAAAAGTGAGGTGAACACCAACAGCACCTTCCTATCTGAGTGCTCTCGCGTCAGAGGTTTTAATGTGAACGCCTTCATGACAGTAGGCAGATCTTAGCTGAGACTGGGTGAGTTTTCAAAACACAAAGCTGGTCATCCAAAATTATCTAGGTGCAGTAAGACTAGAATGGAACATACTGCCAGATTTAGGATATCTGTTCAAAATTCTTATTCTAAAGACCTCAAAGGTGGCTCTATCCATGCAACAGTCCTGTCACGGTGCTATCTGAGCCACCTTCATGGACAGGCACAGCTGCATTGAGCTTAGGTAGCAAGAAAAACAGAACACTAACTTCCAGCAGTTCTTGACTTATCCTATTCAGGGTTCTCTGCCTATGACAACCACCTTTTATGTTTTGGAAACAGGCAGAGCAAGCCTGTAGAAAGGTAGAACCAGGCTGTCCCGCGTCCCCGAGTTCAGACCCAGGCCTTCCCAAACACTTTCCTGTCGGCGTGAGCCACGCACCCCTACCTTTGGCACGGCAGCCTGCAGCACAATGTTCTTCACAGGAAGTGGTGCCGTGTTCAGCATCGAGACCACCACGACCAGCACATCCGACCTGCCCGGCGGGCACTCCCTGGCAAAGTGCAGGAGGATCCGGAAGCCGTTCTTGTCGTAGGCTGTCACCGGGAGGGCACTGCCTGCCGCGGGGAGAAGGGCAGAGGAACACGGGTTTATGCTGCAGCAGACGGTCTGCAGCAGCATTAGGCAATCTGTTTGACTGGGACATCTCAGCCTTGCCCTCTGCTTCATAAGCTCTGTCAGGAAGCTTTGCTTTTAAAAAATGTTCAGAGAAAGGTGAAAAACCTGAGATACTTACTGGGTTTAATGGATTCCAAGGGAACATGGACATTGGCCAAAGAAATTTCAGGTGCTTTCATGGGACTGCCTTGCTGCTGGGATGATGCTGGCTGGAAGAGAGGACTTCCTGAGCCAGCAGTGCAGCTGCTCGGGAACGGAATTGGAGGGGCTCCAGGGGCAGTGGCTGGCAGCCCTGCGGGTGCAATTAATGGGGCAGAGGTGACAGTGGTTGGCAAAGTAACCCCAGGGAACACCGAGGGTGTCGCCATGCCTTGGGTAGCAGTCCTGCAAGAGAGACAGAAAAAACGTCAGAAATTGAGCTGAAAGTGAAGTGGGTATTTCACCACAAACCGAGAAAACAGCACATCACCAGGACAGAACAGTGGCCTGGAGCCAGACTGAAGTCTGTGACTCAGGATGGTGTCAAGTCAGAAGGAGAGCTACAAGGAAATGGGTGGTGGTAGGGTTAGGTGTCACTTCTCTAAGTCAAGAAGAAAGCAGAATCCCACCTTGCCAAAGGTGGGCAAAGGCCTCTGCACCTCAGCAGCCTGTTCAACTTTACACCACGCGTTTGTATCAGGCAACAGCCCAGCTGCTGTGCTCTACCTGGGAGTGCTGCCTTTCCTCCCGAGGTGGGACCCTCATATCAATTTGTAAACTGAAACCCTATGAGAAGAAAAATCCCAATCACATATTTCTATCAAACCAGAGAGCTGAAAGTCTGTTTGTGAATGTGATGCTGCAGAAAGCCTGGCTTTCTAACCGCAGAGAAAGCAAAGTCCAGGACTTTTGGTTACCCTTTGGCTTCTTCAAGGAGTTGTTCCAATGCATCCATCTTATGTGGCATATTGCTCCCCACAGATGAGCTGAAGTACCCAGGAGCACCTGGAATAGTTTTAGGAGGCCCCACAGGGGCAGGTGGTCCAGCAGAGAATACAAATGGTGCTGAGTTTGGTGCTGGGATGCTGGGAGCAGTCTGAGAGGCCGTGAAAGCAGAGGGCAACGTCACCGACGTTCCACATGTGGTCTGTGATGTGTGATGGAGAAGAGGGTTCCCTGCAGGGTTGCAAGCAACAGTCACCATCTTCGGATTAAAGAAATCCAGGTCCAACTGGTCATTCTGAAAGAAAGGACAAACAGATGCTCTAACTCACTGCTGCCCGCTGTTGTAGAGGTGTCACTGTTACAGAGGGTGAGAGATTTACCGCAAAAACAGGTGCTGGGTGGCAAGCAGCAAAGTCTGTGGCCTATGTCAGGACTACATCTGATCTGTAATTTAAGCAAAGGAAGTGCTAACATCATGGGGGACAGATGGGAAACTGAGAAAGCCAGGTTCAGGGATATCTACTCTGTTTAGACACAGCTATCCCAGATTTTAGGGCTAAGTCTGTCCCTCAGGAACAGCTGCCCCTCTGCCTGTATGTGTGATCACACAGTTCTCCAAGGTGACAGAGTGTGTCCCAAGATGTCTCACCAATGACAGCCCCTCCCTCCCCATTCCTTGAGATCCTCCTTTGTACCTCAAACATGTTCCACTGATTGTTTTCTGATGTCTCCTTCAGTGCTGTAGGGGCTGGGTCATTCAGGCCTGAAAGGAAAAAAAACAAGTAGGTGACTGGGGGAACAAGTGAGTTCGGTGTCATCCCTTGGCAGTTGTTTCAGAACCATCAAACTACTTGATTATTCATCTCTGCCAGAGCCCAAGAACCTGATGAAAGACTGAAATGGGCTGCAAGTCTATGATGAGGAAAAGAGACTGACAGTCACCCCTGCACGCAGCTCTTCTAAGCCTTCCTGATCTGCAGCATCTTCTGCTGTTCCTGCCTGGGCTCCACAGGCATTCTGCAGGCTCCTATACACAACCTCTCTAAGGCACCTTGCTCTTTAGCACAGCCACAGTCAGGGGTGAAATCTGTACCAAACTGCAGCCTGCATGTCCAATCACCCACAGAGATCAGACTGCAGTTACACTCAACCATTACTGCACTCGCAGCCTACTCTGGGAAGATCAGAGTTTTCAGAACTGACTCACTGACCAGTCTCATATTCGGAACGATGCAAGGGAGTGTCCCTGGACTTCTCTAGAAACCAAAGGCCTCTCATGCTCCTTTTAGGCATGTCACATGCACAGCCAGCCCTCACACTGAAGGAAGAAAGCAGTCTTTGTTAGGCATGGATTGAGTAGCCCTTTTCTGGGCCCCTCAGCATCTTACCTAAGCACAGAAGCTCCTCATCCAGCAAGGAGAGGGAGTTGGCCGTGCTGCTCTGCTGAGCGGGTGCGGCTTCCACTTGGCTAGAGGAACTGCTCCGCAACTGGGTGAACGTCTGGGGAGGAGGCGGGAGAATGGGGATTTCAGCTGGGGCTGGGGCTACTGTGGGGGCTGGCGTCAGGGTGGTGGGTGGCATTGGAGGTGGAGGGGTGCTGGTGACGTCCAATCCAGCAAGGTCAATGAGGGTGTTGAGATTACTTGTGGAGTTACTCCCTGCAGCAGACAGGAGAAGAGCACTACTAGGAAAGAAGGCAAAAGGCTCAGAGCAAACCCAAAGTACAGAAGCAATGATCAGAGATGGTTTAGATAACACAGATCCTCATTTAATCAGAGCTTATGGCCACATGCTTTCCACCTAACCATTTACTGCCCACAAGCTACTGAAATCAACCCAGATGCTTAGGACACTTCTATATGAAAAGCAACACCGGCTCCAACCACTGCTCCTTCCCCAGGGCTTCAGGGTACCATAACTGGTCATCTTTTCAAAATCTTCTGAGGTCAGATGAAGCTTTGGGAGATCCTACAGAACTACAATAAACAAAGGCTACCACAGAGCTAGAGAGCTGAGGAAAATCTATACGGTCTGGATTTTCATATTTAGGACAGTCTTGTCCAGTAAGATGCTGCTGGGCAGCGTTATGCACCCCTCTACTGCTCTCCATGCAGAAAAGTTTAAGTGACTCCCAGATGGTAGTTCTGCGACACACATGCCCAGAGCTTTCAATGGCGAAGCTGAAGTGTAAAGCAGGCAAATGGCCTAAATTCACAAATGGAATTGCTGGCGAAGCCAGGAACAGAACCCCAGGCCTGGCTCCCACAGTCCTGCTCTTGTCCTTTTGATAAAATCGTTGTCTTCTTACACCTCACCATTAAGAAAGAGGACAAATGTGGAGAGGAAAACATATGAGAACTTCTAGCCACAGAAATTGTTCAGATGCAGGTTTGCTACTGATGGCATCAAAGGTTTCGATTATACAAAATGAGCAATGGAAAATGCAAAGCTGCAGCACTGTTGCTCATGTCCAGAACTGTTTATCCACAGCTTATGAGCCATCTTGTCCCCCTCTGATTCACAAACTGTTGGCCACAAGAACCATCAATAGCCTACTTTACCACAATTAACAGGAAACCCTGTCCAACAGACTTGCAAGATTCAAAAATTAAACAGTTGGCTTCCCAGGAACTTACCTTCCACTACAGGCACCACAGGGAGATCCACTTCACCATTGATCACTTGCCCCTCTATTATTTTTTTATAGGAGTTTATCACACGGGATAAATTGTCACTGGCCTGCAGAATATCCCCTATGTGTAGAAGAGACAAAAACGACCTCCAAGACATTAGTCACTTTGCTCCCACTAAATGCTGAGAGTACTCAGTTATCAAATAAATAATCAAGCAAGAAAAAACATAACTAACTGGCTATGAGCTCCATTACTCTCTGTCTTTGCCATACTTCTCTAAGCAATATCCTGATCTTTCTAGGTCCATGCACATTACAATAACAATGAAAAAATGAGTCCAAGGCTTTGTTCCCTACAGCAACTCCCCTTCCCTTCTCAAGCAGCAGCAGTCCCCCATTATCACCCCCAGCCTCCCTAACCACCAACTCTACTGTCAAGTCCTTGCCTGAATTTAAATGATAAGCATAAAGAGGCAAAGGTCTTGTCTTTTATCTGCCTGCTCAAAGCAAAGCACATCCACAGTGAAGAGGCATCTTTACAGCAGCTGTTCCCTTGCCGAATCCTTGCACAGTCTCAGGTCACAAAAGCAATTAAAAAAGGGGAATGTAGCTTAGTTTACCCAGACTGCTGTCGTTATCCTCTGTCTCACTGGCCAGCTTGAATAATGTTCGTCTTTTAGTTTCACACCTTTCATAGAGCTCCTAGGAAGACAGATTAGGAGAAAGGGTTTCATCAGCCAGGACGCACTGTCAGCAACACCAGCCAGCACAGAATGGCTGCCCAGGCATGCACTGGAAAAGGCCAGAACAGAGAAACCAGTCTCGCTGTGCTGAACTTGCCAGTGTGACTGGCCAACCAAGATCCCCTGCCCCCGCCCTATGAGCAGACCTGTGCAGCATTACATTACCCTGGGAATCTAAACACAACCTGCATTTTCAACACAACATCTCTCAGTCCTGCCTCACATCAGCACTTATGGCCAGGAATGTTCATTCTTTCTTACAGTAACCCCTAAAAGCCCAAGGAAGAGCAGAATTGTGCTTCAACAACTATACTTCAACTGTGCTGCAGCCACTACTCAGAGAGGCTGCAACCACAGAGAAGAAAGGTGGCAAGAAAGAAAATGTTTCACAGAAACAAATGAGTTTCTTAAGCTTCTTACCATAGTTTCAGGAGCTTGTTGTTAAAAATGAGTAGTTTCAATTTTTAAATTAGATAAGATGCAACTCTCCAAGGCCCTGGGCCCTATCCAACTGTCCCTGGTGGCTGTTTTGATTTTTACTTTCTTGGTCTTCTCCCAACCTTGTAATGCTAGCTAAAACTCTTCCTTTGAAGGGGAGGACAGGACATATCTTCTGCCCCATTCAGCCTTTAGTTTATCCATCCACAGTGCTGTAAGAGACAGTTACAATCTGCAATCAGTGTGTCCCAACAGGAGCAAGAATTACAAACTGCAGCTTCTTGATTCTGCCACGCTGCATCTTTGAAGAACAGCTGTACCTCACTTCAAGCATGTGCAAAATCGAGGTATTACCCACTGAGTCCTTTGGTAAAAGCTGTTAAAAGCATGGTTATTTTCTTTCCTGCCGTTTCCAACAACTGCTCTTGTTTCTCCCTGTTGCTCTCCCATTTTACTGCACTGTTTGTAATTCTCTGCAAAACTCAAGTCTCTAAGAAGAAAAGACTGACTGCAGGATTTCTGGGAAGAAGAAGCTGCTCAGACCCACCTTCATGAGCTCCCTGTCAGCCTCTGATGAGTCCTCTTTGCTGTAATGAACCAACATCTCATTCAGCAGCTTCACGTTGTTATTTACTTCCTCCAGCGTGTGCATGCGTTTTGTCACTTTTTGAATGCGAGCCTCATCCTTCAGGGTGTAAGACACAGACATAAAAAGTGAGTTTCCCTGTAAAGGTCCACAGTACCACAACAGGTATTACCTGTAAATCATGTCAAGTACTGTCTATTTAAGGTTTAGCTAGGAAAAAAACACAACCAACACCCACAAAAACCCTCTCCATTCATGCGAAGCTTTGCTTATTTTACTATCTTTTCACCACCATTATGAAATGATAGAAAACCCCGTATTTCCAAAGTCTCATTAAACAGACTTTAATGTATAATTATACCACTAAAAATAGAAAAGTTCCCAAAAGTTCCTTCCTGACATTTTTGGAAGACTTTTTTTTTTTTTTTTGTCACTTAATGCCATTTTACAGAAAAGATGTGTTTCAAGCAAAACATTTACTAGGAACAAGAAGCACTCTCTGGTAGAAAATGTTCACCCTGCTCTGATTTGAGATTCCAACTACAGATGTAGGACAGTCCGCCCTGGGGACAAGAGAAGCTTGAATGGAAACATTTCAGCAACCTATACATCCTCTTCAGTCTAGAAACTATCCTTTTTTTTCCCCAGGATCACAGTGAGTCATTTCCTGGACTCCAGAGTTTCTAATGACTGCCATGGGTGGATGCATCACAGCTCTACAAACAGGAAGGTGTTTCCATGAAGGCTGCTTGTGAGAAGACCCAGTCCAATGACTCAGTCCTCAGTATCCAGGGTGGTATTGTGGTGCTCCCACCCAATCCTGACATGAAATACCACCCTGAGTGATGAGAATGTAGTTAATTATAACAAGGGGCATTCAATACTTCCCCATTCTTGACCTGTCCTCCACTAGAGACACCAACTGTAGAGATCTTTGTGATATAAATCTCTCTCAGTTGTGAGCTGGAGTCAAAATTACAACACATTCATATCACAAAGAGCCCTACTAAATCATCAAATGGTACCCCCTTTATGCTGGTAACCACTGGAGTAAATGCAGGTTAGCCTGTTAGAGGTTTTTAAAAATAATAAAAGTCTGGATGTCGTTGATGGTCAGTCTCATTCAGTGCCCACAACTTAATTAAGGAATGTATTAACACAATGATCCCAGAGACTGAAAAACCCAGGTTCTGCCATTGACATGATCCTAAAGCTCTCCACCATTTTGCAGTCAAATTGCTTAAAACCTGGAAAGCAGACTGCTGACTGGGACCAATCCTACAGGAATTTCTTACCTCTTTTACCATAGATTTTATAAGCTTGTTGGCCTCTTGTAAATCATCTGGGTTTTTGCTTTTCAGCAGTTTGGCTAGAAGCTGTAAGTCGAGAAGAGGATATTCAGGAAACAAATAAAGATCCTTTGGCAAAGGAAAGCAGTGAAAGGAATCTAAGTGAACAATTCAGGGGTAAAGCGATACAGCCCAGTATTACAAGGCTTACACTACTTTCATAGTTACAGTGACTTCAGCAGGACTCACTTATGGTTTATTATTTTATGTGAGTTGTTACATTTTTGCTTCTATACAGGACATATACTGTGAAATCTCAGAGACTTCTGACACTAGGCAATTATTCCTCCCATACATCATTTCTGGTCCTGTGCGTGAAATTCTCTGCCTTCCAGTACTATAGAAGGATGGTACTTTTAACCAGGAATAACCTCATAATGGTAACACAGACAAGGCCTTAACTGGAACTTCGGGTTAGGCAGGTGAAGAAAGCAATGAGTTCTGTGAAACTACACACCACCACCCCAAAAATAAAAGCCAAATCAGCATACTTTACTTCCTTATTCTAAATGTGCATTTGTCACTTTGCATTAGTGATTATGATAAAAGTCTTCACTGCACCTTGGACTTCTCCTCATCATCAAACACAGGGTTTTTGGGACGAGGCGGTGGAGAAGGAATCAGGGTTCTGTCTGCAGGAATCACAGGATCAAACATAACGATCCCTGAAAGCAGAAAGGGAACCCACACGGGTTTGCACATGCAGTCACACCAGGCAGTGCACCCAGATATTCACAAGCTGCTACCAAAGTAAACACACAGCCAATCTGTCCACTGATACTAGCACACTGTTCTAATGAACAATATAGGAGCAAAATCACGGAGCATGCTAGCTGGAAAAACAAAGCAAGTTTTCTTTGATAAAGGCTAAAGCCCCAGCAAACGTGCCCATACTGCTCCTCTAATAGCTCAGTGCAATCAATAGCTCTCCACTACCTGTCTCTCCCCCTTTCACTTTAGCTGCTGAACCACTAAGCGAGCCCCAGACAACCCAGCTTTGTGCAGACTCAAGGGCATGACATTTGTTTCTATAAATGAGCTAAGCAGGGAAGCAGACAGCAATGCAAAATGGGGTGATGAGCAGACTCCAAACCACAAGTGGGGAAAGAGCTAAGCTTCCTGCTCGTTCCATTGTCAAATCCTTAGATTTGTGCTCTACCTCAAGAGCTTTCCTGGAACCAATTTTTCTTATGTTGAAGCCGCATGCTTCTCAGCTGAGCTTTATTCACTGTGCCTACACAAGAAATTTGTATCAGTTGAACTAAAAGTACAATTGTAAAGCGATCCAGTTAAAAAACCACAAAAGGCTACATGGAGGTTCTTACTTCACCACAGACCTGTTCAAATCATTTAATAACTAGTTCCAGAAAAACTCAAAAAAGGCTCTGCAAACCAAAACAAAAGCATTTGCAAGGTGTCTCATTTATCTAGTTAAAAAAGCCAACCCAAGGCATTTAAATACAATGAGAAGCTTTTCAGGGAATTTCTCCCTTGTTCTATCTCCCCTCAGAGCTTGCCTTGACCCCATGTAATTAGAAGACGTATATTTTGTGACACCCCTGCTTAAAGCACAGGCGGGAGAAAATGCATGAACAAGCAGCTGACTTCCTACCTTGTCGCTTCAGCATGTAGTAGGCATCCTTGATTTTGGATTCTTCTGGCAATGCCACTGTCCAGCTATACAGCAATTCAATGACTTTAGTCTTCACCTTCTCTGAGACTCGGTCCCCCAGGTACTAAAAGTGGAAAAAAGATCTAAATTCTTCACCTTTTTTTTTTTTTTTTAGAAATAAAGCCCAAACCCAGAGAATGGAAGTTCAGTGATATACATTAAAATGTATATAATAAGTTCCAAGGTGATCTACTATACATCTTTTCAAGAGGAAAAAATGCTCCTCTAATATATTTGAGATAACAGTAAAGAGAACCTCTGTGATTATCTTCAGCAAAAGAAAAAGCAGTTATTCTGTTGGTGTCAGGATTTTGCTATTTAAAAACTACAGCAATACAGATAACCACCCCCTCCCCTGATTTAATGGGAAAGAATCTGGGAATACTTTGCTGCAGCAATCATGCCATGGGGTGCCTCTATTTTTCACCATCTTAAACTGATCATGAACGTTGAGGGACTTAGCCAGGCACTCTACACACCCAGCCAACAGTAGAGCAAGGATTAGAATTCTATGGTGTGTTGCCAAGTCTCTTGTTTCAACCTCTGCATCACACCCCTGTTCCACTAACACTGGAGTTTTGTTTGGTTTTTTAAAGAAACATAGGACAAGCTTTAGAAGCCCTTGAATTACATGAAAGATTAGAACAGTATAGAGACTATACTTTGATGGTAAGGAAGCAGAGATTATTGAGAAAAACAGTAAGCAAAGCATAAAAAACCCCCAAAACTTAGCTCTTTAATATAGGCTAATAAATGCAATGAGCAAAAGAGAGCACTACAGACATTTTAAATGTTGCCTGTAGCTCACGGAGGCCAAACAAAAAGTAAATACAGCTCTAAGGCTCAGGGACTAACCTTTGGAGACACAACTTTTATTAACTCGTTTAAAAAGCGAAACTTCCCTACTTCATTATGAAATCTTCTCCCACAATTCTTCATACAAGCTTCTAGCACCTGCATTCAAGGAAGAAAATCGGGCTGAAATGAACATCAAAACTCTTCAGTAACAGTGTAGCTGTGTTCTGCTTTATAGGGGAACTGAAGGACCCATGTCAGCGAGACACGTCATCCTGCTCTGCGATACAGGCATGAATCTCCCTCCTTTAGGGATGCCACATCAAGACAAGTTGGTCTCCCACCTTCAGCCACGTGTATATATATGGGTGTAAGTTATCTCACCATTAGGTCTCGTAACAATGAACACAAATCTTACCTGAAAGTAACAAAGGAAAGCAGCTGAAACTAAACCAGAGTTATTTCTGATTGCTCTATCGCTAATGAGCAATCTGGACACTTCAATTATGTAACTGTGCCCCCTCTCACTGTCTGCTCCCCCCAGCAGAGGGGAATCAGGGCATTCAGAACTAGCCCCAGCTAACCCCACTGACACACACTGTGCCCCCTTCTACTCTGCACAGATGATGTCACATGACAGATAACTGGATTTAAGAGGAGGGGTAAGGACTACCTACTGTCAAGGCTTGGACTGCCTCCCATTCCTGTGGTGACTGGATTTTGTGAGCCAGAAGTCTCACAGCTATCTGTGGCCTGAAACAAAGGAGATCCCCATTACAAACAAAGCAGGTGAACACTTTCACAAATTCTACTATTTAAACGAGATGCGTTTTACATAATTAAAAGAAATGCCATTTAGTTCTTTTCATCTTTCCATCAGTGTACAAAGACTAACAAGAAATATTCAGGGCATCTTCATAAGCCCGGGTGTTTGCACATATAAAAGGAAGTGAAGGCTGGTAGTCTGAGCCAGCAATTCCAGATTCCTGCTTGGGAGGGGTCGAACAACTCTCAGTACAGTCCCCAGCCCAGGAAATCACTTCATTTCTCTTGCATTAGTTTCCTTTTTGTAGAACAAAACACTTCTTCCTTAGCTCACAGGAATGCCGTGACCCAGGTTTCCCCAGTTAAGCCTTGTGAAGATTTTAAATACATGAAGCCCCCATCAGGCACTAAGAGTTATAACCCCATTTTACAGACTGGGCAAACAGACTGAGTTTGGATAGATGAGAACACTGCAGCTGCAGAAGCTGACATTAGAGGCAGATTCAGAATCCCCTTTTTCCTAGTGCTCAGCCTGTGCATAAGCCACGTTGCCTTTCACAAAAGAGAAACCATACTCTGCAGCATCTTGCTTCTTTTGTAGACAGATCTTCCTTGTGGTATCAGTATATATAAAAGAAAACATGGAATTCTGATGATCAAATGATGTATTTTAAACTGTGAATGTTAATTTATTAAGTCTAGAGACACCCACCCTTCAAGTTCTTTGTTGATCTGGTCACAGAATCCGATGATGTATTCCCAGTCTTCTTGCCTGTTAGATGGGTTAGTGGCTTTATCTTTGGTAAAGGAAAGAGAACATATTACTAATCAAGCAAAAGAAACAGTATAAAAGGTCATGCATTTCCTAGAGAAAAGCGTTTGACATCTGTTGCCAACTATAAAAAGAGGAGAAAGAAGTTCACACATGGTATGTCTGTTCAGGGAAAAGGGCATGTCCAAGTTGAGACATCCAAATATCCAGAAAGAATCACTGCTTTCCAAAAAACCAGGTGCCAAATCTCAAGTACTTAGAAACACACTCTTTCCATACTCTAAATGAGAGTACAGGATAAAATATTTGAGCTCACACAGTTTCCCTCTGCCTGAAATGCTACCTCTTTCTATTTGGCTGTAACATTAAACTCTTTAAAGGCTAAACCCTCACACTTTCTACATGGGAAATTATTTTTGTATTCCCTGGGAGTTTTGTAGAAGTAAGGGCTGGAACATCAGATGTTTAATACAAGTCATTTAGCATTAACACTTGATTTTAGAGTGCCAGCTGATTTGTTAGATGCCTTAGCATTTCTCCTGGGAATTATGAACTGAAATTTATTATTGTACATTGAATTGTTCTTGCAAATAACAGACACCACAGCCTGTACTGATCAGGAATTCAAATCCTATATGCTCAAACTGAGAGACCGATGCTCTACCAACTGGACTATTTCAGGCTCCTGAAGGATCCTCCCTCAGGTACCAGGGCCTCGCTTATTGTACTGATTGCATAATAGTGAGGCTATCAGCATCTTTTTTTGTTATGAATGCATCTTCTCCATGTATTCTACTTAACTCTGATGGAGCACTGAATTTACACTAGACAGGATTCCTGCTTTAACCTAATTTTCCAGTCAAGATGACTAGACATGATGATTTTTCTTTCTTGTAAGGGAAGAAACAACACTATATATCCAAGGGCTGGCATTTAAGAAGCCTTCCTCAAAATTTTAATACAATGGAAAGAGATACAGAAAAGAAAATATTGCTTCAGCAGATAGTACAGAGCAGGGGATGAAGGACAGGAAAAAAACAACACCCTGTACTTTTATCATAAAGCATAACAAAATAAACACATGCTACATAACAAATTGTCATTTTAATCATCATTAAAACATATCCTTTTACCTTTCCACAGGCAGATAAAAACGGCTGTCAAACATCTCTGAAACCTCACTTTCACCTTAGTCCTCCTACTCTGGCAGTCCCTACAAGGTTCACTCATATTTTCCTCCTCACAGAAGGACAGTTGTAAAGAAAGCATTTTTGTAAATTGTTCCTTGGATTGCATCTGTAAAATATTCCACAGAGGTGAATCTCTGTGCCTGCTGATAACTTCCATGGGAGCCTAGATAAGCAAAAGGCAGGGCCAAGGAAGACTAACTGTAGGATCACATCTTGTACTAGCTAATCTACCAAGCTATTTTTTGAATTCAAGAGATTCAAGGAAGGCTTAGTTTAAAACACAGCTGCTGCAGAGCCAACAACTGTTCAAAATAGCTGTGGCACTTAAACCTTATTACTACACTCACAACTGCTGAACACCCTGGAAGCATCATGGAATCGTGGACTTAAAACAATCTAAAGTCTTTTTATGAAAGTCAAATGGCATCGTGTATGGTTCGGTGCTCCAAAGCACCTCTGCTGCTCTGCAGGCCTAGATGAAAAAAATACAGTTCTTGCTGGAGTTAATGGAATTTATTTAATAAATACAGGAAGAGCACAAACAAGTAAGGACACTCAACCAAATGCACTCTTTGTTGGTTGCACATCTTGAAATTAGAAAAGAGATGTGGTAAAACATGTTCCAAGTGCTAATTTTAAAGCTGTTGCCAACATCTCCAAAGATTTCTTGGAATGACACTGGATTATTTCACACTCTCAGATTGGGTTCAGACTCATCCGAGTTTTTGCACCAAAAGCTCTCACATAAACACAGTAAAGTCTCAGAAGGAGAGAGAGATTACTGAAGGGAAGGTATGTTCCACATGAAGAAACTCCCTATTTCTAACATTCATAAAATCTCCATGTGAAACCCTAGTTCATAGAAGTTAATAAGCTTGATCAGAAGTCCTGCCCTGGTTCTGGAGATTGATGTGTTTCCATGATACAACACAACAGATCGTATGGCTACTCATTACCAATCTCAGTACAGCCACATGAACACAGCACCCCAGGTCAGCTAAATTACCCTGCTTAACCTTTTCTGGACATCCCTACGTGAAGCTGCATCACATCTACCAAGGCATAACTTAAAATCCTTTATTTTTTATGCAGAATCTTACAATGTGGGCAGGGAGCCCCTCTGCAATGCCTCTGAAATATGCTTCAACCCTTATGAAAGGATTCACTTCAGAAAGGGGAGTTTGGTGCTCTGGAATATCAAATCCTTGGCTTCTCTGTTGAAACTGCCAGTAAAGGCCCATTTGGTACTGGTTATAAAGTTTCCTTTCAGAGACACTTCTGTACCAGGTCCCAACTTGGAAATCCCATCTCACATCGGCAACCAAGTGAATGTGAATTAGCAACCTGGGAACAAAAAGTCTCAGCACTACCCCACAGTCCTGCCACCATCGCCGAAAGCTCACTGCTGCACTTAGGTCCTAGAAAGTTGCTTCACCTAACCTAAGCACCAGAGCCATTCAGCCCTCAAAAACGCTAACGAGTCAACATTCAGATGCATCAATAGATGTGAAACAAAGGTGCTTATTTTCTCTATAGATAAACCACACTGGAATGCAGAGAACCACAGACCATTAATTGACTGGTAATGAATGCTTGCATTTTCCTGGGCTTACTTTTCTACTGAAATGAGACAAAAGCCAACCCAACAAAGGTTTTCCCCAGGTCAGGCTTAGGATATGAATTGGGAATCCCCAGCCCAAGCATGTCAAGTCTAACAGTCAGATTCTGTTTGTATCCCCGGGAGGAGAAAGAGAATGCTGACCCATGACAATACAGTGGAAAAAGAAATTAAGACAAACATAGTATTTTATCTATCTGCATTTATTACATAGCTGGCCACTGCCTAAGGCTGACATGAGTGGGATACAATAAGATTCCTTTTGCAGTAGAAAAGGCAGCACTAAAGTCAAAGGATCCAGCTGTGTTTGTACAACTGACATTATTTTCTAACCTCCTCTATTTCAGCTGAGTGCAGAAGAAGAGCCTGCCGGCAAGGAAAGAATAGAAAGCATCACCTTCTCCCATCCCAGCTGCCTGAAATGAGGCAAGGGACATGAAGATGCTAGATCATCCCTGGCTGAAGTGCTCTTGCTGCAGTATTAGGACACAAGGATGATGTTACTTCATGAGTCTATGACTCCACCTGATGACAGAGACAGTGCACTGTGGAAGGCTTTATACCACCAGTACAGAAAAAAATAATCATTGGCAGTAAGAAATTTTCCATCTTTCCATGACTGGGAAGTTGGCTGCGATGTTGAGCAATTCTGGTCCTTCCCTTTAGTAAGGGCACAGCAGGTGCATGCCCTCAAGGTTAGCATCAGAGATGGTTACAAGAAAAAAAACCTCAGGAGGCCTGGTGAAAGCACTCATACGCACCAGCCTTTGCACTCTTGCCTTCCTAGTCTGCACGACTCCTCCGGTAATTTACGTACACTAAATGCTCCATGCACCCCTACAATGGGAGGAGCAATATAATCACAGCAGCACAAATCACTGTAGCAGTGACCTGGCATAAATGCATCCTCTTCAATGAGAGCACTGAAAAACCAAGCCTTGAAAAATGTGTACACCTCTGCAATCAGGCTCGCTGCAATGTTTCTTACAGTGAGTAAGACCTTTGCAACACTACCCTTTAGCATATGTTCTCCAGTGCAGAATATCCTTCCTACTGCTTGGCCAAGGAGAGATAACTTCTCTCTTAACTTCCATAATTAAAAAATAACCCCACAAAACAAACAGTCAGGAAGCTTTCCAGGCTATACAACCTAAAATATCCTTCCTACTAGAGATATTTTCACACACAAACTGAACTTGGTGAGTCAGTTCTCCTCCGAGGAAGATTAAAAGGAAGGGATGTGGGTGTTTCTTCATGTGTCTCACTGGCTACAATAAAATATATTGACAAACTGTGGGAGTTCAGAGGAGGAGCAAAAATGGTGAGGGGACAGAAGGGATTGATCTAAAATGAGAAGGGCGAGCTGAAAGCATCATTTAGCCAGCAACTCCTAGAATAGATGATGATACCATGTATGCACTGGAATTTTATATAAAAATGCCAAGGAAGAACATGAAATCTTTAATCTTGTTTATGAAAGAATAATTCCAAAACAACAGGTTTTATACTATAACATGTTTAGGGTAATGACCATCTTCTGCTGTTTGCCTTTTGCCCGACTACTTAGGCATTTCACTGACTGCTGTAATCAAACAACTATTAAAAAAGTAGAAAATCTAGGCAACAAGCTAGCGATGTGCAGGATAACCTCCTAGGGACAGCAGCAGGAGCCCCTGTGTGTGGAATATACAAAACCCAATTATAGTTGTGACTGATTCATTCAAGAATCATCTCCTGATCTGCCGGCGCTGGGTCAGGATCCTGCAGCGCTCGGTTCTGTACAGCCAACAGTCCAAACGCCAGCCGACTCACAGGCAGCACGGACAGACACACAATGAGGAGATACTCAGCAAGGGCCGTAGATGAACAAGCCGTGTTTTGGGGTTTTTTTTCCCCTCTCTAACATTTAAGATTTTGTGATAAAAAAATACTTTATCTTGACAAAGGATTTTTAAATATTCCAGTCTGTATGGAACGGACATCCATAACTCCTACCCTGAAACTGCAGCTAAGCATAAAGCAGAATTTGTCTGCTTGAAAATCATGGTTGTATAACACACGAATACAATTTATTTGAGAAATCCCTACAGTTCTCAGCCTCGCAAACAGCACTAGGGCTCTACACCTGGCTAACCAAAATCCAGGTGAGAGAAAAAGAGACAGCAGAGACCGACACGTACCACGAGCCTTATGGTCAAAAAAAAAAAAAATCAACAGCCTTACAGGTGTCGAGCAAGGTGAGCTACAAACCCGCCCTTTTCTCACGCCTCCCAACCAGCTCCAGCTCTGTGTTCAGCGACCCTATGGTCAGGTCAGAGAAAGCACCATCTCCTCCTCTGTTACAGCTAGGTCCCATGGAGCCAATATGCTTGGGAGCTCTGCTGTCCTCCTCAGCCTCACTGCCTTCTGTTACAGCACAATCCCTTTATTTGGGTCAATCTTTTCCCACAAAGCCAGTCTGTTGACTGGCAGTGATTAGAGATAATTACAGCAATTCTAGCAGGACCCAGACTTAACCGTGGGAGCAACATAAAGGGAAGGGGCTTATTTCTGTGGGTGATAAAATCAGAATTTAAATCAGATTACATTTGGCTTTGTGTTTACAGTAAATTCACCAACATGATGATGAAGGGTGGAAATAAAGTGCTGGCCAGAAGCCTCATGTCTCAGGTGAGAACTCATGTTTCTTCTCACTATTATGTTAAAACAATATAAAATGGAAGGCTGGGACATCAAGCCCACTGGAATTAGGAGTTACCAGAACTCGGGTCATCTCTGCAGTCCTAACGCATTTCTCTCTGCGCACACTCTCACTGTTATCTGATAATATGTACATTTTGTACAAGCCTCAACCTCAGTCAGCTCTCACACCAGGTGGTAATAGCTTAATGGCATTCTCTTTCCACTCCTCAGTATCTCCTGGACCTTATGTACTGCATAAACTCAGAGAATACCCTTAAAAGCATAATCTTCTCAAAAGATCTTCCTTCCAGCTCTCTTTCATGCCTTCTGTATAACTTGCCAATGAAGTCCCACAAACATGTCACCTATATGACACAGCTTTGACCCCTGCTCTGACCTACAGTAACCGGTATTAGCTGATCGTCCCATCTGGTGTGTTCCACCCTTGAAAGCCCTTGAAATGGAGACGTGTTGCCCAAGTGTTCTCTAAGTAACTGCTGATTCCTTGTGACAGAAAAACACAGGCTCTGGGCTCCTGAGTACAGGCTTTGAGGGGGAGGATGCTTAGCACACAGAGACCTGTATTCTTGTCTCCGCTTTGTCCCTGCCCTTCCCTGGTTTCTGGCCCAGGTTTGTGCTGCTTGGCCTCCTCACCCCAAATGCAATGTCTGATAAAGATACTGAAGAGCTGGAAGAGAAGGAAGTAAAACCTGAGTTAGAGAATCCTCAACTGGCTAGAAAACCATCTGCTCAAGTGGAAAGGGAGTGCTTGTAAAAGTGATGTAACTTCATGGAATGGGATAATCTGTCTGCATGTCTCCTTCCTTGTCTTTGTCCCAAGACTCTAGAGGCCATTAAGAGGAAGCAGCTGGAGAAGTACCACAAAGCTCCAGAAGATGAGAAGGAGACAATTGAATGCAATCCTTATGTCATTTTCCATCAGGCTCTGAAAAATTGCCAGCCCATCATTGGGCTCAGCAACATCACTAAAGGAGGCAAAACCTACCAGGTGAAAGGGGGGGCAGGTGTGGGCCTGGGACCACATCTGGTTGGGAGAGAATTAGCTAGGGAAGCAGGTGAACTGGTTTCCACCCCTTCAGCTCAAGCTTTCCTCTCTTTTGAAAGAGCCACTTTGCAGACTGGATTAAAACAGCACCTAGAAACTCTGTCCAAGATCAGGACCCCAGCCTGTGAGCGTGGTGGTTCCCCTGTCAGCAGCAGTCTCTGCTTCTCTGACTCGATAAGAGGAGCATGCGGCTGTCCGAGGCGACAGAGATCAGTGACAGGCAGTAAAAGAACTGGCAGTTCTAGGACTACCAGTCCCATCCTCTCTGCTGCAGCATGTTGCTTGAGTAGAGGTCCCAAAGCCCTGGGGCAGGTCAGCATGGCAGAAAAGGTCAAACTAGAACAGTGCAGTGTTTAAAATGTGAGAACAATCTGTCCCTGAGTATGAGCTCTGCAACACTCGAGACCTGATGGAGAAATTCCTGTAGAGGCATTTCTCTGTCATTGCGTGCAGGGGAGCGGTGACCACCTCCCATCTCTGCTAGCACAGACCAGCCTGGATCCAGGTCCCAAGCGGGCCAGAAGTCCTTACAAAGGCCAGTGTCTGCCGGCAGTACCCAAGGCTGATCAGAATTTCTGTTCTGGTGGCAGTAGCCAGTTTCTGTGGACACAGGAGGTGAACTGGCACAGATCAGCCGTTGGGAGCTGGTCTCACTGCAGAGCACAGCATGCTGCCACTGGAGTTGCAGCATGGTGTAAATCTGCAGGTGTCCAGCTGGAGCTGTGTGACTGCTGCGAAGAGCAGTGACTGCAGCCTCGCAGCGCGCTAACTGTTACGGTTTAAACCTTTCCCAGGTCCCAGTCCCTCTGAAGGACAGTCGGAAGCGCTTCCTGGCCATGAAGTGGTTAATCACTGAGTGCAGGGAGAACAAGAGCCGTCGGATGCTGATGCCGGAGAAGCTCTCCCTGGAGCTGCTCCAGGCCTTCAACAACGAAGGGCCCATCATCAAGAAGAAGCACACGCTGCACAAGATGGCAGAGGCCAACCGGGCTTACGCCCACTTCCGCTGGTAGTAGGGACTCTGCCCTGGACACGGTGCCACCAGCCCCACAGCCTGGTGAGCAGAGCCCCAGGGCCTGGGAGAAGCTGGGCAGAAGAGGGAAAGGTAGAAGATCCCTTCCAGACAGCTTCTGAACTAAACCAGGGAAAGCTCATCTGATCCCCACAAGGTTCACTGCCTTTGTGCTTGTTTGGATGAGGAAAGGGGAAATCTGAAAGAGTTACCGACCCCTGCACGGATGCTCTAGTTATTTCATAATCACTTTCCTGTGAAGACAAGCCTTAGATGTTTTCCTTCGAGCAATGATGTACAAAATAATCTTCCACTTACCTGTTTCCTGGGGACTTTTAAGTCTCTCTGCTCCTGTAATCGTCAATGTTTTTGGCTGCACAGCTAAGAGCAGAGCTGGATTTTTTTTTTTTTTTTCACATTATAACCAGCCTTAGTGGCATTAGTATGAAAGGCAATAAAAGGCCCTTTTTGATTTTTGGTTCTGGTCATCAGCAATGTTGTCTGCACAGATTTGATGGGAATGTTAACAGAAAAAATAAAACCAGTTTTATGGGGAAGGTTTCTTGATTCCAAGCCTTTTTCTCTGTTGCTTAAATCTCACACTGCTCTTTCCAGCTATCCTGGTTGTTTAAAGCCACCCTGACACCCTACACCAGAGGAGAAAACTAGTATCACAGCCTTAAGGCTTCACTCAGGAGCAACCTTTAAGTATCGTTCATAGCTCAGCAGCTGTGCAGAGAGAAAGCAGGGCACCTGTTAGTGGAAAACTTTTATTAGAAAAAATCCTTCAATAGACTATTTTGCTTCCTTTCTTCTCTCATTCTTATAAGAAACATACCATAGTTGAAACTCGCTAAATTCTGAAAAAACATGACAATTATTGTATAAAACTTATAAAACTTGTTCCTAGCTACATGTGCTCAGGGACATGTCTTGCTGCAGGCTGCCGTGTGGCAGGTGTTGGTGGCTCGTGACCCATGAGGCAGGCTGTGAGCATGCAGGTGCAGCCAGTGTGCTAGAAGGAGCCTGTGAAAAAGAGCACTTGGTTGAGCTGTTTGTGAGGCCACAGTGTTTTCTGCAACTTGTCCCAGAGAACCAGGTACAACCTGAGCTGTGAAAAACTTCTCCTCTGCCTCCCGCAGCTCTGCTGGTTCTCGGGTTAACCAAAATGTTCTCAGCCTAAACTGTGTTTCCCTTAACACTGATATAAAATGCTGGTTTGAGCTAGAAGCCTGCCTTGCCCTTTGGCAGTAGCCCAATATTAAAATCAGTGGGAAACTTGCCCTGCCCTTCCCACCTCTCCGAACCCCCAAAGTCAGGCTAGCAGCAGTTGCAGCCTGACAGTTATGTGCCCAGAGACTCTAGCCAGTATAAATCCTATTTACAGGTAGTGCTAGAAAAACATTAACATGAAAAGAAATTCAAACTTGGTATGAAGCTTGCTGGTGAAAGTGCTGGGGCCATCTCTCCACCTCTACTGCAGAGAGGTTAATCCATCACTTCGCTGTAATAGTATTTCTGGGCAGCGTCCGTCATCTTCCAGTCGGCAGCTCGAAATTCAATGATCTCCAGCAGCAGGAGCTGGGACAGGGAGCTGAGCCCCTCCTGCAGAAGGAAGCCATCTCGGAGGAGGGAGAAGAGCTCATCCATCCGCTGGGAGTTCATCTTCTCCAGCTGCTCGCCGATGCGATGGAGCTGCAGGACCAAGCAGTCCACCTTCAAAAGGAAGAGAAGATGGCTGAGTACAAAGGACTGGGGAGCTGGGGCACATTTCTGTGGAGGTCCCTGTCAGTCACTTATGGACCAACTCATCCTGTTCCCCCTTCTGGATTTCCAACAGGCGACAGTTCTGCTTCCCCCAAGTCGCTGTGACAGGAGGCAGGGGAAGCTGAATGTCTCTTCTGGCAAAAGCACTGGAAAAGCACGTCCTGAACTCACATGTCTCTCAGACAAAATTGCCAGAGAAATGCACCCGCAACAGGTGGAAAAAAGTTAATTCCCTGCAGGATGTCTGAGAGATGATGGCAAGGCTGAAGCCAAGGCCGGAGCAAGGAGGTGCCTCCAAGAGCAGAGGGAAGTGGTTGGAACATGCACTAAAGCTCCTAAAAAGTTTAGTGATTTGCAGGAAACAGGCACTAACTGAGTCTTCAGAGAAGAGGGGAAAGTCGATGGGCTGCTGGGGTGGGAAGGTTGTGCTAAGATGGAAAAAACCCGAAGGGCCCATCCAAGGGCCCCTACATTTTACAGGAACCCTCGCCTGAGGGGCGGCTCAGCCGTGCCCCACGCAGGTTGCTGCACACTCAGACGTGTGCGAAGCTCCAGCTGCAGAGGAGCCTTTTCCAGCCCGCTGGGGTTGGGCACAGCCGCGGGCCTGGGCAGGCAAGCAGCAGCTACACAAAGCACTGCCCAGCACGTCCCGGGACCTGCAGGCACACGGAGTGGCTCCACACACCTACAGTCACTGCAGCTCTCTGCCATCACCTCCCCCACAGGTCAGTGTGACAGCTGGTCTTCCACATGTCTGGCAACCAGAGCTCTGGAAAAGCAGCTGGTTTCTGTGAAAATGGGGGAGAGTCATCTGCATTTTTCTCACATGATGGGAGGTGAACCTGTGTAACACCAGACAGTCCCTGCTTCGAGGGACAGCTGGATCTCCAGTGAGGACATTTGGGCGACGGGCAAAAGCTGCCCCAAGGGAGGACGTGCAGCCTGGACAAGGGACTCACAACCAGCACCTCCCTCGTGCTTCTGGGCTGGAAACCCTCCTGCTCAGCAGGTCTCCTTCCAGCACATGCCAGGGAGGCAGCTCTCCCTCCTCGGCACCAGCAGCCACTGCACCCCCCAGGCTCTGCCTTCTGCTGGTCCTTGGCAGGACAACAGGCGCATTCACAGAGTCACAGAATCTAGGTTGGAAAAGACCTTGAAGATCATCTAGTCCAACCATTAGCCTAACACTGACCAGTCCTCTTCCCTGCACTCACCTCTTCCTCCTTCCGCAGGCTGTCGGGCTGTGCCAGCCGGAACAGACAGTCATAAACGGGGTTCACCAGAGCCATCATGGGCATGTTGTTCACCTGTAAGGAGGCAGGAGCCATCATCAGCTTGGGCCAGAAAAGGAGGAGCCTGCAGCTATTTTAAATAGTCGTTCCCTTGCTGATCTTCAAAGGAGAAGGGAACAGAACTTAACTGTGCTGCCAAATGCTGTATTGGTGGGATTTACGTAGGAGAACAGACATTCGAGTCTCCAGAAGCCAAAGAAGCTGAACAAATGATGTAAAAAACACCTATTTTTAAACGTAAGCAGATACTCATGGGAAATACACTTGTTGCAACAGCATTTTTTCTGCCTGCAGCTCTACTTGTATCATTTTTACATCTACTCCAAGCAGGCATCCAAGTACACACACTGCAGCAAAGGCTTGCAGACAAACACCATCAGTACATGGGCTAGAAATTATTTGAGCACCCACCGGTCCCCACCAGGACCTCATACCAACTAAACCAGTCCAGTCTGGGACGTTTGGGAGCAGGCAAATCAGGGGATTTCAAACACCGCATACAAAATGAGGAAGCTCAGACTTTGTGCCTGTTCCCAGAGATGGCTCTGTCTCTCTGTGCCTGTTTGTAGCACCAGCCCTGGCAGCATCCTCATGCTGAGAACCGGCTCTGGCCCCCACTGTTGCCCCACAGCCCTGGGGCTCCCTACAATACCCACCCAACACCCCTGCCCTGTCATCTTTGGGTGCCCAGGCCTTTCTGGCATCCCTCGGCAGCAGCAGCCGGGTGCTCCTGCTCCAGCTCCTTACCCTCAGGTAGTCGAAGATGTTGCAGATGAAGGTGACGTAGCAGATCCATGCCTGGAGCGAGCGGGTGCGCAGCTCCTCCCTGTCCTTGTACTCCTGCTGCAGCCGGTTCAGCAGGCTCCTCCGGAAGATGCTCTGGCCAACTTGTTTGCTCTCTGCCTACAAGCCCACAAAAGCAGGACAGAGGGATGAAATGGGGATGTGAGAGGGGTGGGGGGGATGCTGCAGGACCATGCAGATACCTCCTGTGATCACCCAGAGAGGCAGGAAAGCTGCAACTAACTGCTTGCGCTCACCAGCTGCTCGTCTGGATGCTGCCACTGCATGGGGCGAGCAGCAGAAGAGGAAAGCTGACTGGGGGGGTCAGAGCACAGGGCTGGGGTGAAGCCTTGCCTGGCCCAGCCTCGGGACAACCCACATAGCTTCAGTGTTTTGCTGTCTGGACACAAGGAGCTCTCACCTGGATGATGGTGTAGCAGATACGCCCTGCCTCCTTGCTGAACACACAGTCTTTGAGGGACTGATCCACTATGATATTGGCCACTTTCTCCAGGTCCACGTTGCTGGGGTCTGCAGAGAGGAGAAACCCTGTCAGGACTCAGCACCCTTTGTGCCCTGCTTGCTTTGGGGCACCTGGAACGGAACCAAGGTCAGCACAGGGCCTCACACGACCATGTTACATGGTGCAAAACCTCCTGCTCCCTCCCACAATGAGAGTCACAGCCCCTCTAGCACACCAGCTGCTTTGGAGACACCATCTCTAGTGGTGCATGGTCCTTCCTGGTGGGAGACACAGGCATCACGATGGGAAAGCAATGGAGGAAAGCAGGTAATATGGGAGGCAGGAAGCTGATCTGAAACCCCAGCACTGCTCCAATGCTGGGTTAGCAGGAGCCAGACGTGCAAACTCCCGCTGGGTTGTGACTAGAGATGTGACTGGTGAGCAGGAGACACCGGGAGGACAAGACAGCCCCGCAGCGGGGACAGGCAGAGGGCAGGAACTAGGCACTGGAGACGGGTGAGAGGCCAGGTCTGGGGACAGATGCTGGGTTAGAGCAGGAGAGGAGGGTACCCAAAATCAGAGAAAACCCCAACAATGAGAACCAGGAGCTGTTTGAACAGCTGAACCATTAAATATTGGGGAGAAGGTGAGAGGGGGCAAGAAGAGTCAGGGAGTGAAGACCTTCCCGGAGAAGATTCACCAATGAGACCCAGTCAGGGATGAACGGTGTTTATGAAACAGCTTTACTACATTTAGCAATCAGTGTCCCTTAAAGGGGTCCAAGCATCCAGCCTCATCTGCCAGCCACGCTCATGTGGCAGAGGAGCTAGTAAAAAGCCTGCTGACCTTTGAGGGCTGTTTTCAGCAGCTTCTGAGTCTCACTGTCGAATGACTGTATTTTATACTCTTCTTTGCCTGTTTCCCCCATGACTGGCTTCCTCCAAGGGCAAGAGTCAAGGGAACGGATGGGCTAGTGACAGTGCCTGGGGAAAGAGCACAGGAAGCTTAGTTGGACAGAGAGGCAGACCTTCACCCAGCCATTTGGCAAATCCCATCTCGGGCTGGAGCACAGGCTGTTATCCTGACAGCCCTCCCACCTCTGTTATTAGGGCACCCAGTTCAGCCCTAGATCTGAGCAAAGTCTCACTCCCCCATCTTTTCAAGCCTTGTTTCCTACCAACTTATGATACAACTCCATCTTCAGAGCCTTTACGTCTCTCTGACATGAAAAATGTGTTTCAATCTGTTGATCTGCAGGTTCAAAGCAGACAGCACACCAAGGCAGCCCCAAAATATGCCTATCTCACCTCAGAAGGCTTCCCTATGGCTGTATCACAGGGAAGCACACACAAGAGCACCCTATGCAGCGGCTCCCTTACACCTTTGAAACACCAGTTCAGCCAATTTCACACCAAAGTCTGGGAAAAATCAAACCCAGCATCTAAACATCCAACTGTACACTCACCAGAGTGAGCAGAGCACCTCTCCTGCACCAGGGCCAGGCTCCTGCAGCTCCCAGCGAGACACAACAAGCTCTGCAGCCAAACCCCCAACAGCAACAGCTCCCGCCTCATCCCCCTGCAGCCGAGCACAGCTCGCTGCAGTACAAACGGTGCTCCTAAGTAGCCTCTAGATTAATTTTCTTCTGCTTCGTGATAGAGCAAAGACAGCAAGAGGGTACGCACGGCACAGGGAGGAAGAGCTCTTTGACAAGCACACGAGATGATCTGCTGGACGCAAAATGCCAGCTGGCCAGACCCGCAGCACAAATACGAGAAGGCAATCGGCCAAATGAATTTCGCCAGCTCGTCGAAATTCCTGGGCCATTACTCACCCCTCTCTACAAACAGGTCCCTGCCCCGATTAAAGCTGAAGAGCCCTTTAGAGGCATGGGGCACGTACCGCAGGCAGCCCAACCCCTCGCACACGCCACTGGCCATGAAGCCGTGGCACAACGTGTAACTCGGAGCAGAGATCAGGGCTCACTGGTGGGTAGAGGCCTGTCTGCCCCCCACGTGAGGCCCAGGACAGACCTTGGCCCACGGGGGTGACAACCTGCTCTCGCAGCCGAAGCTCTCACCTGCGCAGTGTTACCTGCCCTGGGACCTGCACAGAGGTTTCTTTCCCAGACGGGTTCACAAGCAGCTGGGTGCCCTCTGTGCCGCATCTGCTTTGCAAACGCCTTCCCATCCGACATCTCTTCCTTCTGCACGGTCTTTCTCCCTCTGTATCTGCACTCACAGCATTCTGCGCTGCCAGCTCACCAAGCTCACCAGCAGCCCCGTGTCCCACCACCAGCATCACCGGGCAGCAGGAACCGGGCGAGGGCTCAGCGCCACACGCAGCGCGGCAGGAAGCTCCTGAGCCTGTCTGGCAGCGTCTCTGCCGCCACCACCCAGCCCCTCTCCCGGAGCATCCTTCCCCCCGGCTCCGCGGGGACGGGCACGGCTGCTTTGAACTGCCGTGCCAAATAACCCTGCCCAGAGCAAACCACCGCGGCGAGCGTAAAACCTGCCAGGCCTCATCTGCCCCAGAGCTCCTGCCGCCAGGACCACCTTGCCTGAAGGGCTGGTGGCAGCAGGTGACACTGGGCACAGCATCACCCGTGGGGACTGATTCCTCCTCTGCGAATGGTCCCCACCAGACCAGCTGTGCCAGGGCTGGCGTGGCTGGGGGGAGCACCCTCGGTCTGCGCGGCGGTACCCAGCGGGACGGGCCGGACGGGCCCTGGCATCGCAAGGAGACACAGCAG